ATGTATGTATGTATGTATGTATGTATGTATGTATGTATGTATGTATGATTATGTATGTATGTATGTATGTATGTATTTATGTGTGTGTACGTATGCATGTATGTATGTATGCAAGCATGTATGTATGTACTTATGTATGTATGTATCGATGTATGCAATGTATGCAATGTAATGTAATGTAATGTAATGTATGTAATGCATGTTATGTATGTTATGTTTTGTTTTGTTTTGTCATGTTTTGGTTTGTATGTATGTATGTATGTCGTATACATATATATGTATGTATGTATGTATGTATGTATGTATGTTTTCATTAATGTAATGTCATGTAATGTAATGTAATGTAATGTAAATGTAAATGTATGTATGTATGTATGTATGCATGCATGTATGTATGTATGTATGTATGTATGCAGTTATGGATGGATGGATGCATGCATGCATGTATGTTTGTATGGTAGTATGTATGATAGTATAGTATAAGTATATAATATATTTTACTATATGTTATATGCCTACATCCTTTTAAACCACCCCCATGGGATAGAATAGAATCTGCGTCACCTTGGAACCATTCCGGGACTAGATATTTTGTCTCGTGCTTTCCTGCTTGTGTGCTCCTGGTATCTTTTTATGGTCATCAATTGTGGGTTGGGAGTCCCTTTCATGATATGATACATAAAAATGTCCATGCATGCCGGCATATATGCCAGTCCCATGGAGTGTTTGGGATGGGCTTCACCGCCATCAAGTTTAGTTTCTGGAAGGGAGTCTTCAGGATGCTACAAGCAACCCAAGGCAATCCTAGAACCCAGTTGACCCCGGTGTTATTTGGAACAGGATTGGAAAAGACCATATTTTGGGTGGTTTGTGTTCAAGACTAGAGTTCACTCAGGCTCTAGGATGATGAATTCACATGAGCAAGGAGTCCCAAAGGCGTTCTCAAAAACTGTGAGTGGACCCTCCAATTAAGCACCCTGAGAACTACTGGACTGGATTTCACATTTGTCCACCAATGCCAAGTCTTTGCATCTTTTCCCCAAACAGTTTACTGTTGGGGTTCTCTGTTAGGAAAACAAGCTGGCCACAGTGGCTGGCCGCGCCCCTGAACTCTGTGTTTGGGTCATGTCCTCGTCCTCCTCTGGTCGTCCTGGTGCTGGCAGTTGTCCTGCTGTTGTTCTTTGGACGCACTGGCCAACCCTGTGTCCTCCTCTTGTCCTCCTGGTGCTTGCAATGGCCCTGCTATTGTTCTCTGGCTGTGCTGGCCAAACCTGTGTCCTCCTCTTTTCCTCCTCTTGTCCTATTCTTGTCCTCCTCCTGTCCTCCGGTGCTTGCAGTTGTCCTGCTGTTGTCCTCTGGCCAACCCTGTGTCCTCCTCTTGTCCTCCTGGTGCTTGCAGTTGTCCTGCTGTCGTCCTGTGGCTGCACTGGCCAACCTGTGTCCTCGTTTTGTCCCCTCTTGTCCAAATCTGGTCTGCATTCGCTCGTACAGTCTGCAGGTTCGAGATCAGATGGGCATTCCTTCTAATGCCTGAGCTATTGGACTTCCCGAATCGTGCCACTTGGATGGCTTTCAAGCTATCCCGGGACTCACATTACAATATTAGTCTGTTAGCAGTGGACGGAAACCTTTATGAACTACACGACATCGTGTGTTCTGGATCTGGCTACACAATGCTTTTCGACAGCAACATCAACCTGATGCGCAAACGATACCTACAGATTAGGATCACTGGGAAGCCCCAGAAGCTGACAGTTCTCGGAGACGACTCCGCAGAAGGAGGAGGGCATGAATGGACATATGCGCAAATTAAGTCCATCATTGACAAGCACTTTGCTTGCACCCAAAAAGGGATGACAAGTTTGCGCTGTCAAATAAGTTTGAACAGCTGAGTTTTCTCAGTAGCCCATCTCCAGTCCTTGTTCTTTTGTATTTTTCTTGTGTTCTCCTTGCCGTTGTCCTCTTCTTCCTCTCATTGTCCTCCTGGTGTTGAGGCGTGTGCGTGTGCTTCGCACCGTCCCCAAGCAAGCGCGAAGAACGCAGTACACGTGGCAGCCTCAGCGTGCAAGCATGGCAACATGTGAGCATGCACTAGAAAGCAGTGAGGCACTAGGAAGACAACTCCAGAAAAACAACACCAGAAGCCGATGTCCTCTCCTTGTCGTCCTGTTGTCCTGTTCTGGCGGGTTCTTCTGTAGGAAAGAAGAAGCTGGCCACAGTGCCAGGCCTCTTCTATTGTCAGGATCTTTTCGGTCCTGTCCTCCTCATGTTCTTGTATTGCCTTCTTGTTGTCCTTCTTCACTCCTCTCGCTCTCCTCTTTGCGTGTTCTCCTCATGTTGTCCTGTTGTCCTTTTGGCGTTGTCCGGTCCCAGCTTGTCCTTCTTTTGTCCTCTTTCTAGGTGTGTTCGTGGTGATTCCTTCCCTCATCCTTTTGTCCTCTGTTATCCTTCTAATGTCCTCCTTTGCTCTTCTGTTGCCACAACAATTCTTACCGACAAAGCTGTTCGGGGGGGTATGCTGGTATACTAATTATCAACTGCCCTGTTCAAATCCTTGCCTCTTCACAGTGGTAAACGGAATTGAAAGTGGCCATGGGAATCCCTCATGTGGACATTGACAAGGCCAAGAACCTCAGTCTGTCCCAGAGCGAATCTGAAGAGTCAAACGGCTCATCGGAATCTGATTCAGAGGGCACTGCCCATAGGGCAGAGTCTTCCTTGGTACCGTAGGGCGCGAGGAACACAAAGAAAACATATTTTTTCCGCAAGTGGTGGAGCTCTTCAACTCGCCAAGTTGGTCAACACATGTGTGGTTCAAAACGAGGCTGGAGAGCTAAGTTCAAGGCAGAAGCGCCCATCATTACCCTTTTCAGCAAGTCCTACAGCCATGTCTTTGCCACGGAGAAGGCTAAGGGGAGGCCAAAGGCCATGATGGTGGCGAAGTTTGGCTGGTGCTGCCCCGCTGGCTGGGCCTTTTTTGACCCAGCAGTCAGGAACATGTCTGTATGCGCTTAGGGTTCTCATATTCGTGATCCAGGCCAAGCATGGGCGGCTTTGCCCGAGGCCCGGAGCCAGCCGTAATGGCAACCAGCGACAGGCCGACAGCCTCTTTCTGCGCACTGGATAAACCATGGATTTGCAAGGGGTATACTACTTCCACTGTCCATCAATCCTGAACGGCACTGGACGCACTTCGAGATGCACTTGGAAGGTCAAACATCATCCAATGGGCACGGTAACTGTCGATGGAGTACACAGTATATAGTTGCATGCATCATCAAATATACGCCTGGGCATTGCAAGATCCTCCATTTCCACGAGTATGTGCATTACCGTGTATTCCTGTATGGGCCTGCTGCCGTCCAATCTAGGAGCATTGGCATGCGTCTCGCATCTGCATTTTTCATACTCCTTAGGGTAAGATCAATTGTGGATACAGTGAGACATGTGGTGAAACCAGTCATCTCTGGAGCGGGAACCAGGGTCAAGGAACTTGGTGTAGATAAAGGTGGTCGCCTCGGAACTTGGTGCTTTCTTTAACAGCCAGCTAAGATAAAAACCGCAGTTGTGAAACCTTCTAGGCCAAGACCGTGCCTGTGCAGAGCTTGCTCTTTTCCTGGTGGGGGCCGCCTTAGCCGCAATCCCCAAGCCTTGGGGGGTTCGGTCGCTTGCAGTGGGATTTTTTTTACTGCAGTGTTTGCGCTCCGATCGACTGCCCCGTCACGCACGTGCGGCCTTCCTGGCTTCGGTTGGTGCTTGCTTCCTTTCATCAGTCACCGCTCGACCCATTCCCGCCAGGGGTGCTTTCTTTTTTTGTGCTGTAGTTCTATACTTCGATGAGTGGGCAACGACATTTTTTGGGGCTTGGCATCCAAGCAGGCGCAGCTTTCCCAGAAGTTGGATACTGCTGCCCTTTTGTTTGAAGCTGCAGCTGGGGCCAGAGCCTTCCTCGCAGCCATTCGCATTGAGGGTCCACTCTTCTTGGCGGAGCTCTGACGGCGGCTGTGCCGGATCCTGCGCAAGACGCTTGTGCCCGATTCTACACCGATTCGCACCAGGCGGGCATGTGCTCGGCTGGAGCGGACGCCACCATCAAAGCTGGTCTGATCGCGCTGGCTTTGCGAAGTTGAAAAGGCGGAGCGCCCCCAACAACCTGAAGATGCACGGCTTGCCCTTCGGCGGCCTGCTGATGTGTATACCTCCTGGCTTTCGACGAGGGTGCCTCGATTGCACTTGACTTGGTGATCACTGGCCTGTTGCGGTCCGAGCCCCTTGCCGAAGCGGGTAGGCATGCGTTAGCTGCTGCCAGTGCTTCTGCGCAACTGGAAGCCAATGACTTGAACCTGCGCAGCCCAAGGCATCCGACCTATGGTGGCCGAATCCACCGGCGAGTTGCTCCTGTCGCGCGGACCGTGCCCTCCATGCCTCCTTCAAGATCTCTGTGTTGCCATCGGGGCAAGCCATGCGAGGGTGGTGCTGAGTCGCCGGGCCGCGGTTGCAACATCCACTGATCTTGACTTGTGATGCCCCTTTGCTTTGCTCCTCGCCCTTTGCTACCTTTGCTGAAGATCCACTGGGGCCCCACCCAAGCCTTCCTGCACCAGCTTTCTTCATTTCTCTTTTTGCAATCGCGCCGGCATCCTCTTTGGTGCCCTCGGGGTGCTTTGTTTTTTTTGTGTACGTTGAGTCACGCGTTTTCCTTTCGGTTTGGGGCCTTTCCCCTAGACTCCACTGACACCTCTAAAACGGGGCTTGTCAGTGTTTGCCGAGTTTTTATAACGCGTAGGGGGTTCCTTCACAGAGAGACCTATGTGTCCACGGATCCAATACACAACACCTGCGTCATGAGCAGCCACGACCTAGCACGTATGTTTTTTTTCATGAGCCTTAATTGCACACACCCTTTTGGAGGTGAAGCGGCCCGGAGTGTGCCACGTTGGACGCTCCAAGACTCTCAGTGCACATCTGCACTGCAATGGGCTTGCCTATTTCTCTCCATTCCTATAGGGATAGACTCACCAGGAAAGACCTGCCATAAAGACAGCCCATGGCTCCAAGACAACTCACCGACCCCGTCTAGTTCTCCTGATGTACTCCCAGTATCCTATGCCCTGCACTTTAGGCCAGACCCATCGGAGGTGGTGCATCTTTTGTTTCAGTCTCGATTCTTCCTTCCTAACGCCCAGGATTGGTGGGAACGCCGGACGAAAAGGCGCCAAATCTGCGGGTTTTTTGCCGTAAATCTGTGGCCTCGTCTCGTTTCTACCCTAGGGCTCCAACCACCTCCTGAGAAGATGGTTGGGGTGGGTTTCGGGGGTTGGAGCCCTAGGGCTAACTTGAGATGTTTGCGTGTCAACATTGGGGGTGTGGCGAATGTTGTCGACCGTGCAAGCTGGACGTGCCCAGACAATCCATGGCCAATGGTAGGGAAACATTCCACACATGGAGGGTTGGGGTGGATACAGTGGTTTCAGAGTTGATGGCACAATCCCCAAAAGGTGGTTTATATGGACCCCTATGTAAAGGACATCTTGGGGGTTGTGCCATCTATTTTGAAATCACTGTAGTTTTTGTTTGTTTTCGATTTCGGGAGGGGGGGTGCTTGTTCAGGGTCAGCTTCGTTCGCCGCCGATGTACCGCAGTGGGGGAGACAACGAGCAGTTGGAGAAGCAAACAGGGGACCAATCGAGTCGAGTTGCAGGCCTGATCATCCCAAAAGCATGTACTACAGTGGTTTCAGAGTAGATGGCACTGGCAGGCACACCAAGAAATCTTTGGTCCTTATAAACCACCCAACTTGGGGGGCCCAGGCGTGCCATTGGTCCTCTCAATCCATACTTCTTGGTCGGTGGCCCTGCAAGTTCAATCAGGATGGACCGTGCAACCTGGAGCCCGACCAGTCCGCCATGTATTTGGGGCCTGCGCGAGCGTTTGCATGAAAAGAGAAGACTGAACCCCCAACCTCCCTGGACCGGAGCGGATGCGCGGTATGTCGGATGCACGGTCGTTCGTCTCGTCGGTAGGTCAACCCAACTCCCCAGAGACCCGGTAGACGTCCGAAGGGTCTTGGGAAGCGCCTCAGACAGAGTCCGCAAGTATCGTTGGTAGGTCAACCAAGGTCGCCGGGTGCCATGACCCACAGCCCAATTGGTACTTGGCATTTGATGTAATGTTCGATCCTGATTAGTAAACGGGGGTCCAATAGAGGTCCCTCTATAATAAACTACCACCAAAACAAATCTGGATTCCTGTGAGAATTCCTGTGAGAAAGCTGTCAGTTTTGAAGAAACCTAGAGAAAACTACATCAGCTAATGAATCATAATCATTCGCCTCAGGAGCTAAGGAAAGGAAGATTACATGAGCAATTTTTCCAGTGGAAAAAACTTTTCACAATTGAGAACCCAAAAACAAATCTATTATTGAGGATCAGGTGCCTTCGTGGTCTACTACCTTGAAAATTTGTTTAGGAGCAATGTTTTATAAAGGGTTTAATTAGGAATTGGTGGTTTTGGTCAGCTGTCAGTTTTGCTTTGCTGCTGGCTGCTGGCCTGGGAAGGGAGGGGGAGTGTAGGTGGACAGGGTTCAGAAGGAATGCAAACCCTTATTAAATAGGTTTCCAATACAAAAAAAATTAGGGCCCCCCAAAAAGTTAGCATTATTCAGGCACCATTTTTCAAACATGGGGTCTGGAATAATTTTGGAAAAATTTAGCATTATAGAGGGCCCATTTACTAATCAGCATCCAACATTACGAGACACATCCTCACTGGCCAAGCCGCGTTGCTCCAGCACCATCTTTTGGGTGGGGTTGCCACAGAGATACAGTTATATATCCATACTTATCCCATAAGCACCACTACCTGAACTGCATAAATGATGTATAATTGCAACTATAGAATCTAAAATCATTAAACATCGAGTAATTATAAGAATATTACACCCTTTGTGTGTGTCAAAGAATGAAAACACTTGGCACCTCGCTTTGCGCATCACAGGTTTTGCATATCACAGACTATTCTCCCACCCCGGTCGCCGCATTTCGCCGCAGCCGACGCCTCGTCCGTCAGGCGGCAGGTGGAGGTCCTGTCGAAGGGCACCGACGGTCGGAACATCATGCGTTGGAACGTGAGCCGCTTTGAACAGACCCTTGGCAGGATGCAAATGGCTCCCATATTTAGCCAAAACACAAGCGAATTTCACACGTTTGGGACTTTTTGTCGGGAATCTCAATGTAAATCCCAGATGGCAAGCAAATATGGCCCACATACAGGGCCTCCTTAAACATGAAGACACTCTTTCCGGTATGCCAAATGTAATTATACAGTTTTTTGTGTTTTCATGTGTAGTATTTGTGTTGCCCCTTATGGGTGTTACTGAAAAGTGATGAAGAGTGCATTCTGTATTTGGTTTCAACATGTCACCATCCAGACGATGTTCAGCACTGAGAGTGTAGGAGTCCTTCTCTCCTTATCAGTGTGATGGCAGTTGCAGCCAATTGCGAGAGCACGCTATAATGAGTGAAGTAAGTCGTTAAGTCGTGGAAGAGAGTGACGAGTGAAGGGACGAATAGGCCGTCTTCCTCCGTCAGCGGAGGCCGTCCTTGACACACCCGGTTTCTGAGGATGTGTAAAGACACCAGCCTAGCGATGGCGCTCTACCAGGACACGGTGGGATCCGTCAAGGCGAACGGGTTGAGAACCGACGTCGAACGACCACAGGTCGAGCACCTGGAGTCGACCCGTCCGTAGTGCAGAAAATGAGGCATTTGTAGCCTGTCTTTATGGGGTCATGTGATGTCATGTGCTATTTTCTAGAGCTCCTTTGGAGGCGTTGGAGGTAGATCCAGATCTTGGGACCGGAACCACTGTGAAGGCAGCTTTCAAGCTGCTCTTGCAAGGGAGCGAGAGCATGCGAGAAAGGCGAACACCCGATAACCATATTGCACACATTGTTATAGCTATGAAGTGCTATATGAATGATATATAGTGATGCCGCTCATAGACTCATAATGTGTCATATTGAGTAATACTATAGCAATCTTTATGTAATAGCAAAGATTGTTATAGCGATTGTTATAATATAGCTATTATGTCCATTGAATCACGAGCTTAGAGCTTCCGGACGCACGAGCTTCCGGATGACCGGATGGTCGGAAACTAGCTAAGGTTACTTGGAGGTAGAGGGCCACTCTCAGCCACCACTGTGCACCCTTTTTCACGGTCATTTGGACTGTCACCTCACTACCCAACAACCAAACAGATGGACCAAACAATTACGCGAAGGATTCGCAGATCGAGTGACACCTTGTTCGACCATGACTTTCGAACACGACACCAGCTGTGCCAGCTCTGCCAGCTCTAAGCCGCTAGGACCTGAGGAACGAAGTGCAGCGCTTCGAGCATTTCCGCAAGACGGGCATCGTCTTGAAGGAACCCGTGCGCTGACCGCGCAGACCGAGCGCTCGAAAAGGGGCTCCCAGTGGCTTTGTTGTTATCAGCCGAAAGAGGTCAGCATGACAGAAGGGACTTCTTGCTTTTTGAGGTCCATTTAGTCCATTTGGTCTCATTTTAACTGGAGTTGGTCACCAGTTGGTCATACAAAACACTAAATAAAGACTATTATGAGGTCTTTAGGACCGGGAGACCAGTCTCCTGGGTCAGAGGGGGTCAGATCTGGATCATACTGGACCTGTAGGGGGAAGGACACTGGGTTTTTTTGGGTTGTTGGTCATTAAATGTATGGTAACTATTCCATACATGGATGGTCAGATGGTCTGGGGAAGGACAGGGTTGCTGGTCTGAGCCAATGGTCAGCCCTTTTTGGCGCAAGGTCTTTGGCGCGGATTTCATGTTGATATGAACACAATTGGTATTTGCCTCGTTTGAGCAGAATGACGTCATGACCCCCAGGTGTCGACGTGTTGTTTTTGCTGACGGGAAATGAGTGGAGGAGAAAGAGCACCTAGTGACTCCTAGGTTTGATGAGAGACCCCCTAGTCATGACCCCCCAGATAATCCCAAGCTGCTAGAATTCCCTCCCTTGGGCTCCAGGTGGGCTCTAAGTACCTTCGTTTCGATTCGGTGGGACGACCGGTTGCCCTGGTGCCAGGAGGTTCCAGTCATAGCGAACCGCTTCGGAGGTACTCTCCTGGAGCCCCAAACGGGTCACGTTTGCTTCCTTCCGGATGCATCACTCATTCATTGCATCACTGATCCGCACGTGGAGCGGTTCCACGGCACCTCTCTCCAACCTTTGCTCCGTGTCAGGCCATGCCCATTATCAATGGAGAACGGCGGCCCTCTGAGCGGAATGGCTTGACCTTGAAGCCCGCACCAAGGCGTGCGGGGGTTTTACGCGTAACCGCCCAGTGCCAGGGGTCAGCGGCCAGCATGCCTTTTCCCCCAGTGCCAGCATGAATTCGGGACCATGTCCTAATGGATTTTGGATTTGCTTCGGGTTCACGTTTCGATGGAGAATGGAACCAGTCCCATGGTTTCGTGTCAGTCCAATGAAAGATGGGGAAACATGTGTCCCCATCCTACATCAGACATGATGCCATCTTTTTGACCTGGAAAAGGTCCAAGGATTTTGGTTCGAGGATTCTTCCCTAGGGCTCCAACCACATCCGAAGGTGGTTAGACCTTCCAAACCCACCCCTACCATCTTCTCTGGAGGTGGTTGAAGCCCTAGGGCTCATGGTTGAAGCCCTAGGGCTTATAAAGATTACGAGTGAAAAACGTGTTCTTCTTGGCCCTTAGAAAGAAAGGGCCCAAAATTCAGAGACTTGGGTTCTCCATCGGATCAAGGGCCACGTCGTTCCGATTTCGGGCGTTCGACCTTCCAAGTGCCTTCCAAGTCGTTCCATGGAGTTTGGGTGCTTTTTGCGGAGTGGGGCGGCCGGTCAGTCACCGCCCCAGTTGACGGCACTCGATTCGCCCCCTGGATCCCTCGTTCTTCACGTCCATGGAAGCGTTTTGATTGACATTCCGACCTCAACGGAACTCACTCATCCTCGGCTTTCTTTTCCGTTCGGGCACCCTAAACGGCCGCCCCCCTCCGTTTCGAACTCGATGGGACAGGGGTGCCAGATGGGTCGGGTCCTCACCGAAGCTGAGGAGACGGACCAGGAGCCATAGGGGTTGAGCACCAGCAACCCAACCGTCTTCCGCCCCTCTCCTCCTGTATCCGTCACCGAGGCGTGTCGAGCCTAAGCCGGCACCAGAGATCATCCCAAAGAAGCCAACGGTGAGCCGTGCTCAAACTGCTTCCTGGTGGCGCACAAATGGGTGATGTCAGAGAGTTCTATTCAAAATATAGGCTGGGCTTGTAGAATTAACATGAAGTAACCCGATGCTTTACCACAAATTATGTCGACCTACTATGGTTCGGACGATCTTGTCCCTATTTTGTCTATACATGTATACATCACATGGCCGTGAGTCAAAACACAACTAGGTTAAATATGCTTGCTAGCCCATGTTGGTAGCCTGTCTTCGTCATCTTTTTGGCGGAGCTCACTAGCCAGATCAACATCCCAATCAGTGGGGGGTGGTTTTCCACAGGGTCCATTGAGGGAGCAAGGGCTGTGAACGGAGCGTCCGGGGGAGGGAAGGGTTTGAAGAGAACTCCCGTTGAAAACCCTCCATCCCTGGCGAAAACTGCCTCAATCCCTGCGGGTCCTGCCCTCCGCCCTCCGGCTCCAGTACTTCGATCCTTAGATGGCGAATTCACCTTCCCAACTCTAATCATCACAGCAGCAGGAGCTTCCTTTTGTAGGGAAAAACGATGAACCTGTCTCTCAACACGGGGGGGGGGTAGCCTTGAATGTATTTTTGGCCGGTTTTGAGGTACAGCCAGGTCGTCAGGAGTCTGAAATATGTGTTGCTTCATTCCGGCACCGCAAGGCTCGGACTCCCTTGCGTGGAGAACGGCGAGATAGCCAGCGGACGAACACTGGAACTGGTCCAGGTCGGCGGAAAAAGAAACACCTCAGAGTCCAAGTTGAAGTCGAATTTGACACGATGCTGAGGACTGGTTATGACTCTGTGGGTGGGGTAATATGAGTCATGTAATTATTGGCAGTGCATCAGCTACCCAATCTAAATACCCCAGGGCTCCAACCACCCTTAGACGGTAGATAGACCTCCTGGCACCCACCCCAACCACCTTCGAAACGGAGGTAGGCCAGGAGCTCTAAAGATCGGTGGATGTGAAGACTAGACGCTTGCCACTTTTTGTCCACGGATCCACCTTCTCAGGCGACCGCCAAGAAATCAACGTGTCGAACACCAAAACCCTCAAAAAGAGGGTATATACTGTATGCGGATCCATTTTGGGGTGTCAAGGGGTCAATCATTGGTATTCTCCCTTATTATCCCGACGCTTCTGGTTCAAAAAACAAGCGATCTCCGGTTCAAAGTATAAGAGGCTTCGCATGGGTTCGAGAGTCATTTGAAACAGATGCATCATTCCAAGATGCATTTTAATTGCGTGAGACAAAGCGTGTGTTTTGTTCTTCAAGAACCAGGGATTTAGTAGGGATTGAACATGATGTAAAACAGTTCATATATCAATATACATACTTGCGCCCAACATACGCAACATGCACATATTTGCAGGCGCACGGTCGATGGCTGTGTGCACAGTTCTGAAGACTCAGGGTTTTTTATATGGTTTTATCTTCAGGATCATATTTAGCATGTCACACGCTGACAATCTTGACCCCCTTCAATAATTACTGTGGTGTGTTTTAAGCTTGGTGCAGGGTGTCCCCTGACTTCATTGCTCCAATTGATCATTTAACGTTCTCCACGGAGGGTGAAATGTCCAGAGTTGCCTGGAACCTTCGATGAGAAGACAACACCAAGCACCTATGGAACCACCAATCTCTCCCAGTCCAGGACCCGACTCGGGTCAAACCTGAGTACTGTATGACCCACCTCCAGTCGTACCTCACGACCCACCAAGCGCCTCTTTGCACCGACACGGTCCAGGCACCCGGCTTGGCGCCTCCGCCAAGGCCGTCGCGGCGCGGCGCGAGTCCAGCGCCGGAGCCGTGCAGCGCCAGAAGTCGGCGCCGCGCCGCTTGCCGGGCGGAGCTCGTGGACACGGGCGCCGGACGACACCGTCGTGCGTACTCCGAAGCTCTTTTTTTTCGGGATCCGGCAGTCGTAGCGTTTCGCTCTGGTTTGGTACGAGTGGACCTGACGTTTTGGCATGTATACATGTCTCAGTGTCGAACACATCGCCGTCTCAGAGGGTATGTGGATGCCTATAGGGTCTAGAAAATAGGACATGACCCAAACAATGGCTTGCACATGTATAACTATTTCTGAGGCACGAACTGAGACACACGCACTTATCGTTTCATCGTGAGAAGTAGCCTTCCGCAAGTGAGTCCCAGTGGCTTCTGGATCCCCTAAAAGAAGCATCGATCATCCTTGGGTGAGCAGCTCGAATCGAACGCCCCAAGCTGCGGTAGAAAGATCACTTTAAGAAAGCTGCAGCTATACCAGCTGGCATGTCCGATGTCCATGTATCATTTGTGGTGCATCGCTAGCAGAATCGTTGGACCATCATCAACCCTTGGTTCCACAGTTCCACAGATGTTTTCTTGGCTACTGGACCTGCCATCCATTTCTTGATAAACCTCCCACATTTGACCCTTTCACACCAACCTCCTGTCCCAGCTTCGATCATGTCGAAGTCATGGCTTGTCGCCCAGGCATGCCCAAGCCCACGCCCAAGCCCGCGCCGAAGCCCACCGCCAAGCCGCCGCAGAAGACGGTCACACCGCTTGCGGGCGCTGGTCTTGCAGGCGCACCAGGTCAAGCGAAGGGCGAGAAGGAGCCGCGGAGGCGATCCTTAGCGGCTCGGTGAGCGACGGACGCCATCTTGGCGTGCAGAAACCTGCAGAAAACGGGCAGCCTCAAAGATGAGACATGACATGAACCCCAAAAAACAGATATGAGCCGCCGTAGCCATAAGGTACGAATAGGTCGAATGCAGGTGGTTTATGCAGGAGGGCTTGGAGTTTGAAGAGGAGGTGTTTGGAGGGGAAAGCGAAAAGGTTGGTCCCATAGTGATGCGTGTTTGCTTGTTTGTGTTTAATGTTTAAATTGCAATTTGTTTGTTTAATCCCACAAAAGCACGAAATCGATGCGATGCGGGCCATACGTGTCCAGGTTGAAAGGAGTGTTGAAAGGTTTATGACCAGGAGTCACATGGAGTTGGGTGGTTTCGGGGTCCCATCTGCTGTTCTTGTGGAGGTGAGAAGAGGCCCATCTCCTTTGTTCGGAGCCAGCACCCCAAGGCATCCTGGTGTTACCGGGGTTTCGGGGAAGAAAGATTCCTTTAAAACTTTTGAGGGACCAAGTTGACCAGGGGCTTTTCAGCGTTGGGGCTGATGTGTGAGTTTTTTTTTGTGAAACGAATGCTGATGAAATCACTGGCCTTGGCTTTTCAGAGCGGTTTTCTTATTCACATGCAGGGTTCGTTTTCTCTTTGGGCACCGCGCAGATGGGCATTGGCCTTGCCCAGTTCAGAGGCACCGGTGCACCCGGTGCGGATGCCGCGGTGCTGGGTCCGGCCAGCCCATCGCTGAGGTGATGGAAGATCTCGGCGATGCCATGCTCCATCAACTGAGCACATCCGCGAAGACCGCGGAGGACACAGCGAGTCCAGCGTTGCCGCAGGAGGGCACCGCGCAGCCCAAGGCAGTGGATGACACAGTGACTTGGATGACTGAGCTGATCTGACTTAATGTAGACTCTTGATTAATAAACCCTCCCATATGAAGAGCATTTCCACTTCAAATGGGAGGGTTTATTAATCAAGAGTCTACATTACTGCTTGTGACAGCCTGTTCAGATGAAGACAGCGGAGATTACGTGCCCAGACGCTCCGTTTACAGCCCGGCCGGTCCCTCAAAACCATAGGGTTTGAACCCCCTAGACCCCTCCAGGCTTTTCGGGTCCGACCCCTCCATATGAGGGTCCCGGGTCGCGTCTGGGATGGATGGTATGTTTGGAAATCAAATGGTCCTCCGGAGTCCTTGAAGGGCCATCACGTCCCATCCTTGTGACCATCTTCGGACGTGACCATCTTGGAGTGTATTTCCCTAAGAATCCGAGCTCCGGGCTCTCCATGGCAGGGGTCGGACCCGACACCTTCGCAGGGGTCCGGGCCCGAACCAAACCCTATCTGTTTGAGGGCCCGGATTCTTAGGGTTGGAAGATGTCTCTATTTTTCTCCTATAGCCTGTACCCACAGTCGGGGTGGTTGATGAACACCGCGAATCACCAAGAAAAGGGGCTCTCAATGGAAGCCCCTTAGGGTGTCCTGATATAGCTGTGATTGTTTGATCGATTTCTTCCCTCCAAAATCCCTTTGAGGCCCGCCGTTCTGAGTAGTAGACGTGAGGCCATTTTTGTCAAACCGAGTGCAGCCGACCCACAAGGGTTGGTTCATGGGCATCCCTCAACCGTCCTCAACCTCTACCAGGACCATCCAAGGTGTCCAATGGAAGCCCACAAGGATTCTAGGGTAGTCTATTGCAGGCCCCTTGGATGGTCCACGTACCTCTTTTTCTCTAAAGAGACCTCTATAACGAGGTCTCTACCAACCAAAACAAACACCGTTTGAGTATGACGGTCTTTCGTGCCACCGACCCACCGGTCTTGTCCGGGGCGACCACGGGTCTGAGGGTCGGTTTACCGAAACGAACCGAACTCGGGCGGTCCGAGCGGTCCGAGCGTGCGAAGAAGAACGCACGGTGTCTTTTCAGTTTGGCGGATGTCTGGATCCCCTTTTTCTGCCGTGAAGACGAGTTGGTTCATGGCCCATGAAATTGTTTTAATCGTTGCTTATGACGCTGATCTGGTGCCAATTTGTGTTTGCTTTCCGTGGATGTGCTTGGGTGAAGCTGCAGCTCCTTTTGAAAGACTTTTGAAGACTTCACGTGATTTATGACGATAGCGCTAACATGACATGTGCTAACGACTTGGCAGTGTCAGTTCGTTGGCCAGCACCACCCGCATAGATATGGGCACTATGCAGACCATCTCGGCCGCCGTTCGTCCGGTATCAGGTGGTGGTTCGCAGACCCAAGTCTGCGCGTGTTGAGAAGGTGAAAGACGATGATTCTGAGGAGACGGGATCTTCTTCGGGATCGCCTGCTTGAACGGATCAGATGAGACCGATCAGTGGATCAAAAAAAGGTGACTCCCGTGAAAGGTTGACCTCCCTGCTGATCTATTCGGTTCATTATTTTTCGGTGGTCCACCAGGGTGTCTCAGTTTTCGCCCACAGCCATACAAGTTGTCAGGATGACCCACAGCGCAGTGTTACAGTTACCTGGTGACAAGTTGGGTGTCCACATATATTACATGTGGTCGGTGGTCGGGTCCCCAAATAGCCTGTTGGAGGGTCCTGGTTTTTCGGCATGTCATGTCGACGTTCCATGGATGCGAACAATTCTTCCTCCGGAACCTTTGCTTGGTTAGACCCTCCAGCTCGTACGAAAATGGGACGTTTCATGACCCGAACAAGAAACACGTTATAAGGCTTGCAACCACCATTGATTTATACAATAGCCTTTTGCCGAAGAACCATTGTTTTCTCAGGTTTTCTCATTATAATTGCTATATTATACAATCTATTCTATTACATACTTTTCCCTAGCCTTCTAGCCTTCAAAGACCATCAAAAGAACGGTTGACCTGCTGGTTTTGAAGTGTAAAACCCTGATATCATAGTACAATATGTTATGCTTAGCAAAGTGCTGTCAGAGAATGGTTGTTGGAATCCCAGGGACTATTTTGTTGTAATAACATATTTTAGACATGTTTAAAACCAGGTCAACCATTTTCTATATACACATCCTAGAGCCTCAATAGTGATGAATATTCTTAACTATTGGGATTTCTTTCCTATTTGGCCGAGGTGAACGATTCAACTCAAAACTCCACGCTTTCATACAAAACTGCACGCAAGCACTTAGGCAGCAAGCCCCTTTTTCTCATCTCTATGAGAGGTTCAGAAGTTCAGCTTCTTGAACTGTGAGGCGTATTGCCCTAGGCACTTTTGAATGGTTCTGGTGCTTTGAAGCAGCTGATGCACTTTCCGTGAGGTTCTCGACACTCGCCCCACTATATCTTCATCGGTCCAACATGAACTGCCTCAGGGGCATCCAGCAAATATCTCCCCTTCCAATTTCACAGGATACATTGGGTATGATTAGATTAGATAGATATAGATCAGCAAAAATACAACATGCCGTGCCAGGGCCAGGGTACTCATTGGGTTTGCCGCTATGGATCCACGAAGGTCCAAAGCAACATGTACCATCAGGTGGTACTTCGGTCTATACTTGTAGAGCTTCATGTTTTTTCTCAAATGTTGCAGATGCCAAATGAGCATATGCAACCTGGGGGGCTGTGCATGTCTCTCAGAACATATTGAGTGTGTTTGATGACTAGGAGAAGCAAAACACGTACTTTGCCACGTGACACACATCTCATAGCTACACACCCTCACGATCTCAAGAGCTTTTCCTTGTAGCCAAATCCCCTGGTGGTTGATGGTGCTGAAGAATCTGTTAGCACACTGCAGAAAATACTTGGATAGTTGAAACAAGTCATCGTGCGGATCAGCCTCAGGGCACATGGATCTTGTGCCACGTGGCAACTAGCAAACACTTACGAGAAATCAGCAGCATGCATACCATATATATCTATATAGTTGAGTTGTATTGGCCTGCGTGTCCAGCATGATGTCGCTTTCCAACCACTTCAAGGCAAGTCCTGTGTCATACGCCTTGCCACCGATTTTGGTCGGGAAGTTGGGTCTCCTCAGGTCCACTTCATGCCAGAACACCCATCTTGGGTTGGCACGGTTGCAATACAGAAATATATAAGTGTCCAACAAAACACATTTTGGGACTTGGGGATGGTGGAAGGATGGAATGATCAACCAAAAAAACACGCAACAGCTCAGACCAGAAACTTCTTCATTCCAAATGAGTCCGCTGTAAACTCTCCAATAGAAGTGGTATGTTTGTTTTCCCTGCACCAAAGGTCGAAGCGCCGGAATGCTTCAGCAAGTCTGTTGTCAAACTTCCTGGCTGTGGTGAAATGCCCAAGTTTTGCTAGAAGGACTATTGTCGAAGCGGCTGCATCCATGCCGATACCGAGATGAAAGATGTGGAGCACATCTAACAATATATACTCTTCAGAATGGCAGCCAGGGAGAGCTCGCAAAGGGGCCATGTCTTTGAATGGGCTATCGCATGGGTCCCCTCTCCATGCTGCGGTCTCTGTTGGGTTCTCCCATTCCTGCAAAATGATTCACATGAACCATGCAGTCAGTTTGAAAAACATTCATGTTCCGTATGCGCAGTAGTTATAGTCTTTTTTCTGGCCTTCGCAGAACATCTATGACACACTCTGCGCGATGTGAATCCTGTCGATAAATGAAAAGCCTCAGGGTTCTCTGCACACGTATTTGCAATTTGGTTGCACCATGTCATACCATGTTGGTTGACATGTAAAGAGATGGGGCCAGCCACCGGCCTTTCTCAAAAAAGGCCAATCGCCTTTGCACCCAACGCAGGCCATCCGGATCCGTGTCCCATCAAGGTCCTGAGCAAGGCCCGAAACAAGGAGGAGAGGACCTTGGACATTGGAGGGAACAATCCTAGCACCCATACAGTAACCCATGACCAAATTATCCTAGCGTCGAGGATTCCATCTTCAAAGGCTCGTATGGCTTGTGTGGCAAACTCTTGTAAAAGATCATCGATTGTGAAGGAGCCATGGTACAAGTGGCTTGACACGCATGAGAAAAGAAAGCGCGTTGTGAACGAATGCCTTAGTTCTCCACAATTTGACAAACGTACCTCATATATGAAGAAACAGCTGGCAAACAATATACAACTGGTGCCATGACATATCGAGTTACGTGGAGTGATTGCATGCCACAGGGCCAAGGTGAGAAATAACTGGCTGCCATGTCAATACCATAAACGGTCTCTTTACCTGACCACGGCCCTCATCGCCATGGATGGTGAACGGTATGCAGCCAGCCAAGTTGAAGTCGGTAGAAAACAGGGGATGATTTGGGCAACTCCTCCTATAGTCAGACCAGAACTGGGTGAAGGTGTTTCGCCACTCCCCTGAACTCACAGTGCTGCCACCCAGCAAAAGCTGTGGTTTGTTGGCCAAGAACCATTTGACCCAGCTGTCCATCCTGAGCATCGGCCACCAACTCTTCCGAAATCGGACAGGCTTCCTCAGCCTGACCCTGACCAAGCAAGTGTCTACAGGAATATGTACTGTCATTCCTGGCGTTCGATGAACTAGATGGTGCAAAAGCCTGCATGCATTCTTTCTGTTCTTGCGGGCCCCGGCAAGTCTGAATAGCAAGCTATCCCCACGTAGTTGTCCTCAAACAGCTGTAACAACCAGTGAGTCCTATATAGACTATATATATATATATATGCAACTCCACCCCGCCTTTTTGCACCAATCTCGTAGCAATGGATGCAATTTTGCCAGCTCTGTAGGCTGACTCTGCCTGAATGATATGATCAGAGAGAGAGATGGGAAGAGGACAAATGTTCCCCATAAGTATGTGATATGTGAGAACCCGAACATGGGCAGTAGAAACGCAACCAAAATACTCCACATAAGTAATCTTCCATGATCTCTTTTGCAAGCTCATCCGACACTTCTTCCAGGCTCCCATCACCAGAAGCTTCCGGAAAGCACCCTGAGGCAGGGCAGCATGCATACATGAGTTCTTTTCTCAAAAGGTTGGTGCCTTGAAGAGATGTGTATTGTTGCAGCGTCGACCCACCTGTCATGGAAGCAACTCAACACACCCAGCAGTCCCATTCCCAGCTGCTGCTGGGAAAGCCTCCAACTATTTGGATGTTGAAGAAATACATGGATTGGTACGACTGTTTTCTCGACAGATCCGGACGCTGCTGCAGTAGCTGAACCAAAATCAGTAGCCACACAACGCTTTGGCCAAGTTGCATGCGACCAAAAAACATATATACATGTCAAGTTAATGTGTTCTCTATTTTTGAAGAGTCATTCAAAGCTTTAGGCTAGCTATTTGTCGCATTTCCTGGCCATCCTAGACGTTGGAGGGCTACACTCAAACCCCGCGCACGCTCTGGCAACACTACTTCTTCTTGACTGTCTTAGTCTTCTTCTTTGGTGGCTCTGGCTCTTCCTCTTCTTCTTCTTGCTCGTTCTCTTCTTCTGGCTCTACCTTTGCACAACCTTTTGCCTTGGCTTTACCTTTAGCTTTGCCTTTGACCGCAGGTTTCTTGGCCGAGGCTCTTTTGGGGGAACCCTTAGCCTTACTGGCAGGTTTCTGTTTCACAGCCCTGCAACGTGTGATGATCTGGTTCAGAACGATGTCCTTCTTAGTCAACTCACACAACTCCGATCGCAAAGACGATTTCTGTGTCCTTAGATCTTGAAAAATCTATATGGTGCCTCTCAGTGTGACCGCTCAAGTGGTTTATCAATTGCACACAGCTAAAGATGGGGCAGGTGCTGATCCGGTTCGTTCTCCAGCTGCATTGCTTCTGCTTGGAGCTGAAGGACGCAATCGAAGTGCGACCGGAAATCACCCAGCTTGGACTCGAGCTCGGTCACCAACCTATAGAGTAGAACTTATAGATCTGCACATACTGCAGTTGTTTGTATAGAATATATAATTCATGCATGCAATCAAAAAAACGCATTGCTTCGTTCTGTGGCTACTGCCGTCAGTTTCTCCTGGCCAAATGACACTCCACCACATGATACCAGATGGGCAACATGAAAGTGCATCCAACCCCCCCACCTTTACATCCTCTGCTTTGTCGATCTTTTTGCCCGCAATCTCAAGGAAGTCTCCGAGAAGATCTGTGTGGCAGGATTCCAAAACGGATTAGTTGGGATGAACCACACGCAAGGCATGACTGAGGATTGCACCATATGGGTCCTTCCCAACTTGCAAGATAGGGAAAGTGAGCTGACCCTTTTTGCCACCAGTGCCACCACCACCACCGGGACCAGGAGCGTTCTGCAGATCAAGCCCTGAATTTCGGGTGTTGCCACCTTTCCTGAGGGCAAAGGGTCAAACTTAAAA